GGGTAATGTTAGGGTCTAAAAGGGCAAGATTCCAATCCCCATTAAGCATGGGCTTTTGGGATCAATGGTTGGGTCCTTAACATAGTCATTACAGGAGAAGTTGGCCCAGATTTTCTGTTAATAAAATCTCTCATTGTATAAAGTGTCTGCCATTCTCAAAAGAAAAGTAACATTATTCACACTGACTTTAAAATTGCAAGATTGGGTTTTTTGTTATAGTTTTGTATTGCAGGTGTTTGAAAGAGAAGGCAATGCGAGAGAGCTCGTCACCATCTTGCAACCAGTTTTCATCTCCTTTTGTAGCGATTTATGAGAAGATGGAGACACAATTGTCATCACCAAATATAGGAGGTAAGTCTACCATTTGAATTTATGATGCTTCAAATTAGTGGCATTACGTTGAATTTTAGAAAAATTTAAAACCTGAAAATAATAGAAAATATTGAAAAGAAATTCAGATTGGCACTTGATTTATATTTGTTGTGATTTCATAAACTAACAATTGGTTGACCTAATACTTCGTAGAACATAAAGAATGATGAGAATAAAAGCTGCCCAATACTTAGCACTGCTTGGGGACTTAAACCTTCGTAATAATTAATAACAAAAATTTATTGCACTAATTATACACAGTATTATTTACAATCTTTATATTAAGCTTAAACACACGGCTAGACCAAGATTGATCTTACTTCTAGGCACCTTTGTATACTTCTAAATTTCAAGAAAGTTTAAACTCATAGCTCAGATCAATTACTTGTTATCTTCAATGATAAGAAAACATCTTATTCATCAAAAAGATGAGAAATAAGGCAGAGGATATACCTTTTACTGATTGCGTAGGAAGCTAGCAACAAGGGAATTAGGTTAAGATAGCATTGTTCATATCAATCCAAGAAATAAAAATTCAAACATTCTCAGGGTAACTTCAATACAATTGCAGATTGATAAAATTAAACAATCTAGAAAAGCATCTGAATTGCAAAGTTGCACCAATGTCCGTTGTCAATGTTAGGAAACAAATTAAATTGGATTGTCTAGTAATTGAAACACTTTCTCTAACATGCGTACATAAGGATAACATCTACAGTACCTCAATAGCATCAGCTACAGTTGTGGTCATGTCATATGTAATCTCTTCAAAAGTCTCATCCAGGAAGAATACTATAGTTGTAAGCTTTTTACCCATTAAAAGAGCTTCAATCTCTTCACGTCCAGGTATTATATGCCTTGGTCCAGCCTTAACAGAACGCTTCAAAGCATTTAATGTATTCATTGCAAGTACTTGAACCTCAGAATCACTACTAACACTGTGTGCAACAGTATGTACATACTCTGACAAATAGCCACCAATTTCCTTGCTAGGAGGCATGCAGGATGCGCATAAATACATTAGTTCCCAAGCTTTCATCAGAGATTGCCTGCCAATAATGAAATCAATAGGCTAACTAAGATCATCAAGCAACTTGGAAACTGAGCAAAATTTAGTGATGAAAAAGCTTTGAAACGCTAATAAAAGATAAACACGTGTAACACATAAAAAAGTAAATGAATCAGTTTTTGCAGACCTCGCAAAATGTCTGTGTGCATACCTATAGGGATTATTTCTTGTCTGCTTTGAAACTTGTGTAAAAAGTTCATCTCGCAGTTCAGAACGCTTCATAGCATGCTTGTATAATTTGCTAACAAGCTGTGTGCGTTCATCTAAACTTGTTGGAGAAGCTTGATCAGAGGAATCAACTCCCAGATACTTCAAGATAATCTGGAACATCTTAACTGCTCTGCTAACAAGATCACTGTTTAGTTTCAGCAGCGAAGTTGGGATGGGGTCCTGCCACAAGATGCAACTTACCTTTGAGAAATGAGTTTATAAAGCACAATTCACAAACAAGGATTGTCATCAAAGCGCAACGAATTACCTTCTGGAAGCACAACATATCCTCAAACGTGAATTTTTCTCGAGTCTGTGATCCTGATGTCTTTTTAGAGAAGAAACCACGTTTACCAGCATAGTGAATCTGTTTCTGCATGGCCCTCAGGAAACCCTCCACCTGAAAAAAGAAAAAAAGATAATCACAAACTAAAATTTCATGCATTCAATACCCAAGAGCAAAACAAATTGTTAACATAGCATAAAGTTCAGGTACCATAAAAGCTAGCATATAAACTATAATAGAAATGTAAATTTACCATGGTCTACTGGTTACATATACTCTACAAGGAAAAAATATAGCTTTCACCTGGAATTTATCAAGCAATGGTATAGCACCGGCAAGTTCGGGCGGTATTCCCGACGATAAGGTGTTGGGCGTGCTGCAAGTCAAATGAGGTAAAAGCTGATAAATTCTTGTACACTTGACAAAATTAATATACCAAAAAGCTAACTCCTCGCCCTCTCAGGTAAAATGCAAGTGGCATCCATCAAGCACAGTTTGAAAGTCCAAATGCAACATAAAGGAAGGGAATAAACTTACGGTGGGGCAAAATTGGAACTATCTGAATCATAATCATCTCCATTTGACGTGGCAAATGAGTTGTGTGAAGGGGTTTCAAATCCATTAGCAGAACCAAATGAAGACCTGCTTGATCTCAAACTCTGTGCCATATCAGAAGTCATTTCCCCAAATTACCTCTAATTGTCCAAAGCTTTTCAAAATTCTAAACAAGCACCCAATTCGAAGGTGCTTCTCTCCCCCCCAAAACGTGTCTGTTTAATTCCTTTTCCTGAATTATATTCAACACAGAAGGCGATTCTGTTAAAGAAATATGGCAAAGTCATCAATGTGGAACTCCAAAATTTGACCAAAAAATCATATTTCAATAATTTCTAGCTACATGAACCCAAAAAAGAAATACAAGAAATCATAAATAACAATTCCCATAATAGAAATTTTAATTAAAAATCAGAAATCAAGTCGAAAATCCTAAAAGTTCTAAACCCAGAAACTCTGCTAAATCGTAATAAATAGTGAAATAAAAACAAACGCGATAAAATCCAAGTCCGGAGAACCTGAAGAATATTAAGCATAATATAAAAATAGAAATGACGACATTAAAAGTCAAACTTGAAAAATAACATCTTCCACAGGAAAACTATTCGTAGAAAAATAATCAAAACACAGATCGAAAGAACAAAAATGTATTGGAAATCAATTACAGCCAATGGCGCAGAAATCAGAGCAACACAATACAACACACGTGCATACATCATAAACATACTCGAGCAAATTTCAGAAATCCGACAATGAGGGGGCAAAAGATAACACAGGATTACGAATGCTGATTAAGGGATGCTGAACCTACCAGATAGAGAGAGGAGAGAGAGTGGAGTGACGGAGGGAGAATCAGAAAGGTGACAGTGAGGTCACGAGAGTTTTTTAAATTCATCTTTAGCTCAGCTCAAAATCGAAAGCCAAGACAAAACGTGAAAATGTTATTGCACAGGCCCTCAATCTATTCGAATGGTAGCAGCTTAGTCTCTAAACTTTTATCATAGTTGCAAGATTAATTTCCGACGACGAAAACGATAAATATTTGTTGAATTATTTAAGTCGTAGACAAATATATAAGTAAAAGTAAAACCCTAATAAAGTCTATTATGATGTTTGTGTATTCTTTGCACATGGAAATTTTAGTTATAACGCAACGTTTTTGATTGACTTTCGATGAAATTAAATAGAGGGAATTATGGTTAAGTTTTCTAACTTTTTGGTAGTGCGGAAATGACTCATCAAATTTCGAAAATTTGACTTCTCAATTTGAGGTTGAGTCTTCAAGTGATGAAAATCGACAATGTGAAAGTTAAAATCACAAACACTTTTCCCCGTGTTTTAAAACTGAAGGACGGAACAATCCTCAACTTTTCATTTTCCTAATTTCAATTTGAAAGTCGCATTTGATTTTAGTTGATTCGGTCATATGGAGATTCGATTTCCCATGTTAAATAGATTAGAAGTCGAAATTTTCACTTTCGAAGATTGAAAAATCACTCCACAATACATGAATTACTTGTTTGACAATTATTATTCTAGAAAAAAAAGAGTTTTGAATAGTAATTTTTAAAGGGACGTGTGGTCGAAAATGATTCTGTAGTAAATCATAAAATAAATTAAAGGAGAGAATTCAACACTAATTTTTCCAACTAAATACTACGAATTTTTATTTTTTCTTTCTTAAAGTAAACTTTACCAACCATATTTTGACACAAAAAAGGCAAAAACCATTAGTCAATAACGAAGTTTTGCACGAAACACGAAAAAGTTTGATAAAATAAAGTTAAAAAGAATCGCAGATTAGTTGCAAAAGCCTAGAATTTGTTAATTGAATCATTGTCCCAAAACACTACTATCCTATCAAACGTAAATCTTACTAAACATCTAAATAAAATAACGTTCAATTATTTTATAATATCATAAAATATTTTTACCGTAATTCACATCATATAAGTTTGGTAGGGATTAAAATTTAGATTTTTATTTTAAATTAAAATAAATAATTAATTTTAATCACATATTTCATTAGATCCACAACTTTTCAATTATACATTTCATAAATTTTACTAAAAATCTGATTTTAATTTCTACTGAACAAGGGCTAAATCGTGTAAAAATTTTGAGTCGACTCCTTCCATTCCACTAATTACCAAGTCTATGCATCATTCATGTAGCTTTAATATTCTTTACAATGATTGAATATATAGTGCATCCAGATGGAAGGACCCCAATAATGCAATGCAGGCTTCAAACGCAAAATGATACATTGTTTTTACCAACACAAACATCCCCACCCCCCAAAAAAAAAAGCAACAATTATACAAGGATTCTTAGGATTGGGACATCCCACCTTGAGTTTAGTGATTTGGGTTCATCATTCCATATATTTTCAAGATTTTCAGTTATATAATTCTTGTACATTTTACTTAGAAGAAAAAAAACATTGTACATTTAAGAATATGGAAAATAATACATAAAATGTTTAAGAAAAAATGTAGATGTTTCCATTAAATAAGTTCACATGTTTCTTATTCAAGTAGTTAAACAAAAATTGTGAGCTCCATATTTTCTATCCACTTTACCAACTATCCTATGTGTTATACACTTTCTTCATAGATTTATGCTCCACGTACAGGAGCATAAATCTTACAGGGTCTTATAGGCCCCTCACTGTATTAAAAAAATGTATAAAAAAATATGGACCCCACCTGAATATGTGTGACCTGACAGACCTGTGAAATCCAGCTCCTGTACGTGTAGCAGGCATCTTCTTCATATGTCATAGATTGATTTTTTTTTTTTTTTCCTTGAATTTTCACCTTCAATTCAATGGACAAAAAGGAAAAAAAAATATATTTTGTTTGAAACTATTGTGTGGGAGTATCGGTATGTCGGTATTGGATTAGCTTCTAAGGGTCCATTCGCCTTGTGTGATTTGGTTGTATGCTTCTTTGTGTGATTTGGTCCATTCGCCTTTTGAAATTTGTAGTTTCTAATCATGAAAACATTTATACAGAATATTCGATTGTGCTTAGAAGTAA